GAACTGCGGCTGGCCCACTGCGTCGAGATCAGCGATGCGGCATTCCTAAATCTTCCCGAGTCCCTCTCCTTTGATAGTCTCCGCATCCTGGACCTGACCGCATGTGAGAACGTCAGAGATGATGCGGTAGAGCGCATCGTCGGCGCTGCGCCTCGCTTGCGGAACCTGGTCTTGGCCAAGTGTAGGTTCATCACAGACCGTGCGGTGCAGGCCATCTGCAAGCTCGGAAAGAACCTCCACTACGTTCATCTGGGTCACTGCTCCAATATCACTGATCCTGCAGTAATACAGCTGGTGAAGTCTTGCAACCGGATCAGATACATTGACTTGGCTTGCTGCAACCGTTTAACGGATAACAGCGTTCAACAGCTGGCGACTCTACCTAAACTTCGACGAATCGGCCTGGTCAAGTGTCAGTTGATTACGGATCAAAGTATTTTGGCTCTGGCACGGCCAAAGGTGTCCCCGGATCCTCTCGGTACTAGTAGCTTGGAGCGAGTGCACCTCAGCTACTGCGTCCACCTGACAGTGCCGGTAAGTCTTTGACGAGTGTCGTCTCCATCCCAGTCTTTGCCAGTACTGATTCTGCTGCCCAGGGAATACATGCTCTTCTCAATAATTGCCCTCGGCTCACACATCTCAGTCTCACTGGTGTGCAGGCTTTCTTGGCTCCAGAAGTCACCCGGTTCTGCCGCGAAGCACCTCCGGAGTTTACACAACAACAACGGGAGGTCTTTTGTGTCTTTAGCGGTGAAGGTGTCACTCGACTTCGGGACTACTTGAACCACAGTCCTGACTCTACCCGCGAAATGACCGAAGCTACCATGTATGACGATGACGAGGAGTTGGACGAGGACGAAGGTCAAGTGACTGGCCTGATGCATGCGACGGTCATAAATGACGAAGACTATATCGATATCGGACATGCTCACGGTTGATACCCCCCTCTGCTATTCCTTCGAGCGTGTTTTTTTTTTTCCGTGGCGCCTCTTGTGTTTCTCCGCCTTTCTTACCCTTCATCTTTCGCATGACGTTTGTGTCAATTTTGGCATTCATCATTCAGGGATCATGGCCAAAGAGCGGGCGTCCCTATCATTTCCACCTCATACGTACAAACTAGGACTGTCAGATTTCATCATCTGGAATTGCATCAATAGCGGTTGATACGGCCTGGGATTCGGGTCGTTCATGTTTGTTTACTTGGGCTAGGCATATATATGGTTTTTGTTTCTCCGTTAGATCCATGGAGCTGTCAATCTTTCGGGTTGTCAGCTGCTTTGGAGTAGACACCCACCATCATGGTGCCGCAATAGGGTCGCTCTCTCTCTTACGGAGTGGAGACTCCGCAAACGTACACTATCTCTCATCGCATCAATACAACGAAATTATATATTTTATCCATTACTATTCATTCGGATTCGATGAGATCTTTTGGAATGCCCTGAATCAAAGTAGGGACTTTGGATGTTGCACACCAAATATCGGCCAAATACTACTGTAGGACCAACCGGGCTCCATTGCATACCGCTTCCCCGCTCTCCGCTCTTAGAGGCGCGTTCACCTCAGCTCATTCCTAGCTGCGCCTGGGTCCCGAATCCCAGTCGCAGCGTGTACAGTTAAGCCAGAAGCGACTGGTTTTGTTCAGATCAGTCCATTCGATGGCCCGTCCTTCGCTTTCACGATCCAATCCCCTCGGATTCACCCCATGGCCCGTCACCGTTATCACCTCGGCCGTGTACCTTGCGCTAGTGGTGCCTTTACTTGTCGTCCATCATGTCGTGCCTTCAGCGCCGGGCTCGAGCCCGAATGGTCTGAATCTCACTGAAGCCTGGGCTGATCTGCAGGTCCTCACGAACGGGTTCCACCCGTACAACTCACACCGCAACGATGACGTGCACGAGTGGCTTCTGGAACGGGTTCACGAGCTTATCGGCAGCGCACCACCCGCGAGCGAGTATGGATCGGTCAACGAGGAGAAGCCAGACGTCTTTGTCTTTGACGATACGCAGTCGAACCTCACCTTCTCCGGCCGCGGATCGGGCCTCGGGGTGTATTTCGAAAGCACCAATATCATCGTGTACATCCGGGGCTGGGAAGAGGACAAGGAGCGCTGGTGGGAAGACCCGCACGGCCGGCCGGCGGGCAAGGGCGGCGTTCTGGTGAACGCACACTACGACAGCGTCTCGACGGGATACGGGGCCACCGATGACGGGGTGGGCGTGGTCTCGTGCCTCCAGCTGATTAGGTACTTCACCACGCCCGGGCATGTGCCCCGGCGCGGGCTGGTGGTGCTCTTCAACAACGGGGAGGAGGATTTCCTGAACGGCGCGCGGGTGTACAGCCAGCACCCCATCTCGAGGCTGCCGCATACGTTTCTGAACCTGGAGGGAGCGGGCGCTGGAGGGCGGGCGACGCTGTTCCGTAGCTCTGATGCGGAGGTCACGAAATCGTACATGAGGTCCCCGCACCCGTTTGGGTCGGTGTTGAGCGCGAACGGGTTCGAGGCGGGCTTGATCAGCAGCCAGACGGACTATGTGGTCTTTGAAGGGGATCTGGGCCTGCGCGGCCTGGATGTAGCGTTCATGGAGCCCCGGGCTAGGTACCATACCGACCAGGACGATGCGCGGCATACGAGTTTGGATTCCGTGTGGCATATGCTGTCTGCCGCGGTTGCGACGACGGAGGGTCTGGTCTCGGACGCCAGCGGCCGGTTTGAAGGGTTGCCGCGCGAGGATGGTCGGATCGCCAGTGGATCTGGGCCGAGGGCCGTTTGGTTCGACCTGTTCGGGAGCACCTTTGTCGTCTTCGAACTGCACACGCTGTTTGCGCTGTCGGTGACGCTGCTGATCGTGGCGCCGCTCGTTCTGCTGGTGACGAGCATCGCGCTGACTCGCGCGGACAAGATGTACCTGTTCCGATCGTCGGCCCGGCCGGAGGACAGCGACAGCATCGAGGTGGTGCCCTTGCAAGGGGTTCGGGGATTCTTCCGGTTTCCCTTTCTGCTGGTGGTCCCCACGGCGGTGACCGTGGGTCTGGCGTATCTGGTCACGAAGTTCAACCCGTACGTCATCCACAGCAGCGAGTATGCGGTCTGGAGCATGATGGTATCCGCCTGGGTCTTTCTGGCGTGGTTCGTCTCGCGCGTGGCGGACTTTGCGCGGCCCTCGGCGTTTCACCGCGTGTACACCCTGACCTGGCTGTTTGCCGTGGAGTGGGTGTTGCTGGTCATTGCCACGGTCTACGAGAACAAATACGGTCTGGCTGGGGGCTATTTTGCCTTTTTTGCATTTGCGGGAACGTTCCTTGCGACGTGGATCTCGTATCTGGAGCTGTTTGCTCTGCCGCGCAAGTCCGAGTACGCGACTCAGCTGGTGCCGCCCTCCCGGCGGGCCAGTAGCCACGGCAGTCGGCTGGGCACGGCCTCTGGCGAGGATGTCGAAGAAGACGAGGACGAGGATGAAGACGGCAGCGCGGCGGAGGCCACGGAGACGACCTCTCTGCTGCGCGGACAGCGCACCACCTTTGCCAACTATGTGCGGGTGACGGGCGACTTTCACCACGGCGACGACGAGCCGCGCGAGCCCCACGTGTACGGCCATGAGCAGGCCTGGAGCGTCCACTTGCCCAAATGGACCTGGGTGTTGCAGTTTCTTCTGACCGCGCCGCTCGTTCTGATCTTCGTTGGACCTCTCGCGCTGCTGCTGACGGCCTCGCTGCGCCAGACCGCCCAGGACGGCAGCTCCTCGCTCTTCATCTACATCGCCATCGCCGCACTCACGACTCTGCTCTTCATGCCGCTTCTCCCGTTTATCCATCGGTACACGCACCACATCCCGCTTTTCCTGCTCCTGGTCTTCGCCGGCACCCTGATCTACAACCTCGTCGCATTCCCCTTCTCCGCCTCGAACCGCCTCAAGCTGTTCTTCATCCAGGAGGTGGATCTCGACACGGGCGTCAACCACGCCTCCCTGAGCGGCGCCTACCCTTTCGTCCATGACGTCGCCAGCTCCCTCCCCAGCGCCGCAGGCCAAAACGTCACCTGCGATTTGGATCTGCCCCGACCCAAGTGCTCCTGGTACGGGATCCCGCCGCAGGTGGCCCAGACCCAAGCATCGATGAAAGACTGGCTCTCATACACCCTCACCAAATCCGACAACGAAACCAAGGCCCAGTTCACCATCTCCGGACGAAACACCCGCGCCTGCAAACTCGTCTTCGACCGACCCATCTCGCGGTTCGCGGTCGCTGACTCCGCGTACGACCCGCGCTTCCCGCATGTTTCTCCGCAGGGGACGAAGGAGATCCGGCTCTGGAGCCGCGAGTGGGGACATGCCTGGACTGTGGAGGTGGAGTGGTCCGAGGATGGCGATGGCGAGGAAGGGCTGAGCGGGAGGGTGGTGTGTCTCTGGAGCGACGGCAATACGGACGGGGTGATTCCGGCGCTGGACGAGGTGAGACGGTATGTTCCTGTCTGGGTGGGGGTGAGTAAACTGTCCGATGGGCTTGTGGAGGGGAGTCGGCCGTTTGGGATATGAGTTGATTTATCATTTCCATCTACTGTATCGTACTATCTATGAGGTATGAGTGCTGCGTTTGTATTGACTTTGTTTGTAAACGTGGAGGGTTACTGTAGATCAAGTACTATCTTCATTGGTTGTTATGTACAGTTATGCCAGGCATTAGTGTAGCTCTGGCTACGTCAGTGTTCACCGTGTGGACCTGTATTATCATCAGGGGCGCGACACCGGCCATGTGGATCTTTGGGCTGATGCAGTCACCATGGTCCAAGGGGATGATGACGTGACGGCCCGGGTGAATCCATGGAACCTAGTCCAGAACCCTTTGATTGTGGAGTAGAGCCCATCAACATCAAGTAGGTATGAATTGATCGAGTTCCTCCGTATCATTCGACAGTTGCTCGAATTAGACGATATGAATGACGTGACTTCGTGACTCATTATTCGTTGAGGGGGCCGAAAGCACGCAGACCGGATTCAGAGTCAACCCGGTTTATCGGGGGCCCCACTGATACTGTTGTGCTGTTTATGCAGCGAGTCCGTGAAGTCGAGCGGGCTCACGTCGCGCTGGGTCTCGCCGCTCCAGGAGTGCGAGATCTCGGAGCGAGTGGTCCCGTGGTCTGGGAGCGAGGCGGAGGCCGGGGCGTTCTCGGAGTGCTCGAACATGGCGATGGAGATGTCGTCCGAGTCCATCCACGGGTGGGAGCGGCGATGGACGCCGACGGAGGAGGAGGAGGCGGGGATGGCGTGCGTGAGGTCGGAGGTGACGCGGGTCGCGTCGACGAAGTCCGGGTAATGGTATTCGGGGTGGTGGTAGCTGGCGGGGTGGGAGTTGTCGATGCCTGTGCCGACGGCGGCGGCGACGGGGTCGGATTTCCAGACGTGGTTGCGAACGAGGTACACGAGTTTCCCGAGAACGGCGAACTCGAGCTTGAGCTTGATGCTGTAGACGACGCCCTTGATCATGGTCTCCAGGATGTACTTGTTCATGTACTCGACGACGAGCAGGCCGAGGTCCATGAAGATGATGATGAGGTTGATGGCGACGAGCTGGTACATGATCTTGCGCTTGCCGCGGTCCGGGTCGAGGCGGAGCATGCGGGTGGTTTCCCAGATGTAGAGGCCCGAGATGATGAGTTCCTGCAGACAGAAGCCGGTCATCTGGATCTTTTCCATCACGTTGTAGCCGCGGATGTAGGCCGGGGCGGCGTCGGGGCCGGCCATGTTGGACCCGTAGGTCAGGACGGTGGTGGGGATGTGGAAGATGACGGCATCGACGAGGATCATGGCGAGGACGCGGCGCAGGATGCGTGGGTTGCGCAGGACCAGGTGCAGGCGCGAGTAGAGGACGATGGACTGGCCGGTGACCATGCACCACCAGCCGACGGTGATGAAGGTGACGGACAGCCAGGTCTGAGCGGTCAACTGGAAAAACTTCAACAGGAACCCGATCGAGTAGGGAACGAGCCCGATGGACGAGGAGATGAGCAGGCTCCAGAAGTAGGAGCCGTGGTACCTGCTAAAGGTGACGAAGACGAGGATGACGAGTTCGACGGCATTGTACCAGGTGATTCCCGCCAGAGTCGCAATGATGATTTTCATCGCCAGGCTGTCGCCTGTATATCCCCCGGTGATGCCATCTCCGGGAGCTTGCGTCCCATTGGGCATGCTGTAGAGTCTCTAGGTCAGAGGGGCACGAGACATGCTGTTGTAGTGAAGCCAGAGAGGGAGTGTGGGAGGATGGGAGGATGGAAAGAGAGAAGAAGAAGAAGAGTTCATGAGAGAGGGGCTCTGTAGAGAGAAAAGAATGATGAGAGCAGTCAGGTGAGAGAACAGTCAACATGACTACTCCAATAATAATAAGTAAAAAGAACAAGAATCAGCATCATTTAGTTATTTAATTATTGCTACTACAGTATTACTTTAGACGTGGGGAAACCGGGGCTGTACACCGTATTCTTGGCCTTGTTACGGCGATTTATTATCGTCTCAACTCTCAACCTAATGCCAGACTGCATTTAAAGGAGAGATCAGATGTCGAATAAGAAGACAGGAGAAAAGCATCGAATGATATATCGACAGCCCGATATCCCTAGAAGCACGAGAATATGACTGGTCAAGTTGGTAATCTTTCAGGAGTACTTCCAATACCGCACTGCCTGTGGATGTCTATGTCTGACTTCAAGATCATTATCGTCTCCACTCAACTGTCAATAGTTCCGTAGCCAAAAATCAGATGAGATCATGTCATGTTTCCCAAATCTGATCGACAAGGAACAGGTCAGACAGGAGAAGAAACTGACTGATCAAAGCCAAACTCCAGTGACAGAGTTCGGATCACCGTTGCTCAGCCAAGAGGTAGATTTCCAATCCAACGTTGTTTGGCCAAGTTGACTCGAAGCATCGGGCAATAAATACATCTACAAATGAGAGAGTGACTGTCGTGTGCACATTACATCGACAGCCGTCGAGGCATAATCTACCTTGGGTATCCAACGACGTCGATCCCTTATTGACCACTTAGCCATCGACGTGCCAAGTCACTAACTTGTCCTGGATTTCTCCACGAGAATCCTAGTCTGTCTCTGATCAGTCAGTCCATTTCAGGATTTGATCCTCGTACCGGAAATATTTCTGACCATCACTCCAGAGTACCTCGACCATGGCAATCAATAAGACGGATACTGCGAGGCCGTGGTATTGATCGTTGACTATCACAAGTGGACATTCAACGACCACAAAACTCGAGCTAAAGTCAAAAGTCCTCGTGGGGCATCGCAAAGGACACAGAAATGACCGTGCGAGCCATGACTTCATCTGTTACGTTACGACGATCTATCTACTTGGCCCTCTTGGTCAATATGTATCGACAGCCTGAATCCTGACCAGTCGAAACCCCCCAACATCCCGTCTTCCATCTCATTGGGATTTTAGACGGAAATCGGTCAGGGTCACTTTTCCTTGAAATGATGCGGTGTGCTTGTTCCGACCTCTGCTTCTTCTACCCTTCTCAGCCTGGGTGGTCAGATGCTGAGCATGGGCTGCATATGCGCGAGGTTGGTGTCTATCAAGGCGAGCAATCTACTTCTCTACGGAGTCCTATGAGTGAAAGACTTTGCTACCAGTCCACCAATCCCCAGACGGTGACTATAGTATGATTTACTCCGTACTACTCCGTACCTCTAGTACACTACAGTGTACCTTAGGGTTGATGGAAATCGACATCACATCGGCCCAGCGTCCGTGTCGTTTCCTAACTCCCCGAGCAGACAAAGTCTAATCTTACTTTGATTTCCTCCTGCGCCTTTGGTCCTCGTAGGGAAACAATATCGTACCGAGAGGACGTTACACAGCGAGGCATCGAATAATAGTACCATCAGATGCGCTCGAGTGTCGTACTGCCTACTGTTAAGGACTATACTATATCCCTTACTCCTACACGTGCTGAGCCAGAACAAGTACATTCTCGATCTCAGTCACCAGCACGTGTCGGCGCAAGGAGGCTTTTCATAATCTAAATGGAATCCTATGTCTCCTTGCTCGGATCCTGCCGTCGACTGGTGACTGACAGTAACGGTAACCTCCGCGAGATCGCGAATCCTTCATACGAACTTGGTCAAGAGACGGCAGAAGTAGCTACCGGCTATAAGAAACACCGGCAGATCTAGACCATCGGAGTCGTCCTCTCCTTAAACAAACGGGATATCTCTAGCATAGTCATTACCCCTGGCCCTGGAGACAATGCCCAAACTCCAGCCTAATAAACCACTCCCTAACGCCATATATCATAATCCCTGTCGGGGGTCCATAACCCGGGCAAACCCAACCCAGCCAAAACAAAACAGAACAAAGAAACAACCACGCCGTGCCCTTTCCCTTATCTGTTCACTGCTGAGGGTGAACTCCCTCCCCCCGTAGCAGCAAGCACCCTCTCCACCTCCCCCCTACACTCCGGCATCGCACTCCTCATCTCCCTAGCAAGCACATCCCGGAAACTCGCAAACGCCTCCTTCTTCCCCTTCAGATCCTGGTTCCCGCGCTGCACCAGCTCCACGAATTCCCGCGTGTAGATGTCCGGGTTGCGCGCCGCGTCCACATAGTCAATAATCTCGGGGGGGAGTTGGACGTCGCTGAGGAGCGGGTCGTCGCTGGTGCTGGTGCTTGGTTCGGCCTGGTCCGGGTCCCGGTCCGGGGGCTGGGGTTTGGTGTGTGTTGAGAGGGTGGAGAGGGCGAGGGTGAGGTTTTTGCTAGCGCAGTGGTTAGCAGTCAGTCTGGGGTATCAGAGAAGATGAGGGGAGAGGGGAGACGGGAGAGGTACATTTTTCTGACGAGCTCGGTTTGAGTCTCTGGGCCTAGGTAGCCGTGGACGGCGGATTGGATCTCGAAGAGGTGTTGGATTACCTCCTTCAGGTCGTCTGTTCGTTCAGTCAGGGGATATTGACATCGATGCGGGTGTGATGGGCATACCATCCACTGTGCTTAGCGTGACTGGGGCCATTTTACGGTGCAATGGTGGGTTCGAAGATGGACATTGAGCTGACATTGAGTACTCTAAAGGCAGAGCCGGGCGGAGAGCTCCTGTGGGGTGCCACTAACCCTTTGTGGTAATTCACACTAGTACTCAAGGGAGAAAGCTACAGAGACAAATGACAAGCTAATTAGGTCTGAGGCTCTAGGCTCTAGGCTCTGAGTATGTTCATTGTTAAATCAATATGTATATATGATATTAATTAGGCCAAACGTCTATCGCACACTTGTAATTACACCTCCTTGGTCCGCAGACCAGCAAACTTTGGTATCTCAATCTCCGTTTCCACCATCTCCAGTCCAGACAGACTGGGAAACCGTCGGCTAAAGCTGGCCTCCCAGTCATCGCCCGGGCTGGTTGGTGTCGCCTGCGCGGTCGGGCTGCGGTCATCGCCCGAGGGCCGGCCCATGTCCGGCCCACCCACACGAAGGCCTTTCGGCTTGGGAGGTGCCATCGGCCGGGATCCCGTGCGGTGCGCAGAGGCTGAGGAATACCCCGTCGGTGCTGTCTCCTGCCTGGAAGCGCTCGCGGGTCTTTCCCAGCTAGCTTTCCCAGACTGTTGTTCTGGAGCCGAACCGTATGTGGCTCCGGCGCCCCGGGTGCCCGGCCGCGACTCCGGTCGGCCCTCCGTCTGCTTCGCCTGCAAAGCAGCACTCGACTCGTCGGTGTACCGCCCGTATCCCGTCGCCGTCTTCTGAGGCGGAGGCTTGTTGCTCTGTCCGAGCAGTGACTGCACCCTGCTCTGGATCGCCGACGACCGGGACCCGTCCGTTCCCACTCTGGACCCTCCCTCGCCCCGTTCCGCAACCCGGCGGCGATACTCGGCCGCTGCCGCCGCCACTCGCTTCTCCTCCTGCGAAAGCCGCCGGCGCTCGAGCTCGCGCCGCATCTCCGGCGATATATCCTCGTTGCTCTCGTCGCCACTCAAGTCAGCCGTATATTCGGGCACTTCCGATGTTGTCACGGAAGGGAATGGCTTCGCGGCTTCCTCTGCGGCGGGAGACGGCGATTTGTCCGGGTTGCTCTGTTCGAAGCGGCGGAAAGCGTCGCCGAATCGACCGGCAAATAACGTCTTGGTGCCGGAAAGGGACAGCGTGGAAAGACTCGTGCGCTTGCTGTGCTTGTGGCTGCCGCTGTACCGCTTCTCCCGCTTCCGGTTGAGTTCCTCTTCCCTGGCACGCAAGAAGTCAACGTCCGAGGAGATATTGGCCCGGTCGGGCATGTCCATCTCGGTGCGCGCGTGCTGCAGCGGCGCGCCGCCTTCGTACATCGGTCTGCTCAAGTCCAGAGACGACCGAGCGCTCTCGGACCCTCGCGAGAACTCGAGCCTCGACCCGGTATGGACAGAGACCGGGCGCGCCTTGCCGTTGGCGGACTTGGACCGGCCCACCGGACCATCAAGGTCCAAATTCGACGGTCGCACCCCATCCAACGAGGGCCGCGACGACGCGGATGACAGCGTGGGCAACTTGTCGAAAGAGGCCTTGGAGTTTGGCTCCAGTCTCGTCGATGAAGTTGGAGGCGAGGGCGCCTTGTTGGGTCTCACGGACTTCTGATCCGCCTCTGCCAACCAAGACGGATTGGACGGCTGGCGGTGATGATCGGACGAAGGAAACCTGTGAATAGTACGGCTGGATGGCTTTGTCTCTGTAAAACCTGGCGTGGGTGGAGGCGATGTCATTGTCCCAGTCGACACCATGGCGGGTCTCTGGGGAACAGGTTGGTACAGTGGAGCCTGCTGCGACGGTTGCTCTTGAACATGTCGCGGTGGCTCGACAGACTTTGTCTCCACGGAGGATGTCTGAGGTCGCTGGTTGATTGATCGTTCTTCATTCGGAGGCGAGGGCCGCTTCGCAAATGCGTCGTCCGCAAGAGCATTCGTTAGTCTCCGCGCAAGATCTTCATCTTCCGACTTCTTCTCTGCGACAGTCGGCTCAAAGTCAAATTTGTCCTTTTCCTCATTCAAAATCTGGAACTGGTCAAGCGACGGAAAGCGATTCGAAAACTCCTCGATGGAGTTTCGCGACTTGTGGCCGTTGCCGTCCAGAACGGCGAAGGGGTCTGTGGAAGAACTACCCCGGAAGGGAGACGGGCTTGGTTTCGCCGAGTTATGCTGAGAATGATCCGGTCTGGTCGGACGTCCTCGACGCATCGGCGCAATTTCGGGAATGATTTGGGTTTCCTGGATAGGTGGGGAGAACACCGCTCCCACTTGAGGTGCTTCCACCGGGGAGGGGGGAAGTTCCTGATAACGACGAGCTTCCGAAACAGAGCGATTGGCATATATCTAGCAGTGAAAAGAGATGAGATTTCCGGGAATTCCTTTTGTGAGAGCAAACTGCTTACATCGCGAATTGGGACTTCCTTTCCTTGCATGTTGCATACTTCGCGCACTACCTCATAGATGGTAGGGCGTTTCTGTGGATTTTCCTTCAACATCGACGCTAGTTCAGGTCAGTATTTGCGTAAATTAACGAATATCGAAGACGTAGCGATCTCACCGATGAGCGCTTTCAGACGATCCGAGAAGGGGGGATATGAATGAAACTTGTAGCTCGCATTCAAAATGGCCATTTGGCCAACCTCTTCGAACGGAGTAGTGTAATAGCACAGCTTGTATAACAGAACTCCTAGCGCCCATATATCACTCTTCTCGTCGATCGGCTGTTTGCGGTAGACATCAATCATCTCGGGGCTCCGATATTGCAGCGTTGTGTGTCGCTGAACATCATCCTCAATCAAACGACCTTCAGCAGCCGAAGTCGCAGCCGGGCGAGGTGGAGCCGCAGAGCCAAAGTCGCAGAGTTTATAGAGAGGGGCATTTCCCTGAAAGGAAATGAGGACGTTCTCGACCTTGAGATCGCGGTGCAGCAAAGGGGGCTTGAGATAGTGCATGCAGGCCACCCCCTCCGCCACATCCGAAAAGATCTTGATTATTTCCGGCTCTGTCAGCCGGTTCTGCAACCGTGTGTTCATAAAATCAATCAACCCTCCGCCGGAGCAAAACTCCATCAGCAAAAACACCTCGTACCCACCCCCTCTCAGCTGGGACGCATGGGAATCGATGTACTTGACGATGTGCCGGTGACCCTTGAGTTTCTTCATTGTCTCGACCTCCGTCCGCATATTGGCCAATGCAGCCTTATCGGGGACCGCAACCCGCTTCAAGACTGCCCGATCGGAGCCATCGACGGGCTGGGGGAGGCGCACGACGTAGACATGGGCAAAACCGCCCTCGGAGAGGTACTTCTCAACCACAACTCGATGGCTTCCGATCTGAACCTTGGTCCCCGGCAGGAAGGTGCCTGCTGGAGCAGTCACAGCCGCAACCGGGTTGAAGGTCTGGACAGGCCGGGGAGGAGCAGCGTGAGACTGGTAGGTTTGGGTAGGGGGATGGTAGGAGGACATGGTGGACTGTGAGCCCTCGGAAGGGCGAGTGTCGATACGGCCAAACTGCGTAATCTATAGTTGCTGCATATAGGAGGAGATGAGGACACAAGGAGACAAATAGACCTTGGTTCAGCGTGGAAACAGACCAATCTACAGAGAGGACAGTTGGCGGGGAGGCGGAGAAGCGATGTGAGGCGGTGATTTGAGGGGGCGGTACCTGACTACCCCGACTGAAAAAAGGGCAGTAAATCGATTAGGGGGTATGTAGTATAATAAGACAGACAGGAAGTGTATGATAGACAACAGAAGATGAAGATGCTGACAAGCAATCTTGATCTAGGACGTCGAGTGAACCTCGACTGACCAGCAGCAGCAGCAGTGCCAGTAAGTAACTACAGTACCTTACCCCGTAGTGGCAGCGGTGATGATGGTGGTGGATGAATCTAACTGCTTTGAGAGGTTGGTTGGCAGGCGGCTCTCATTTCCCCGACCGCCATATCCAGTTGAGGCATCTCCCTACCTGTTTCCAGCTGGAAGTTTCTCGTCTATCATGTAATTGAAGAGCCTTTGTGGTAATTGGATTTACTGACTGTGACTCGCATTCCTTATGATCATCAGGCACCATCGCAAGCTGATCATGGGATTTCCCCGGCCATCCTCCGACCAACCCCGATGATGCTGACTTGACCTTGACCATAGTCCACATTCACGTTCCTTGACTGATTGATGGTAGACCAGTTATCTGCCTACAGGATCCCAATAATGGCAAGCCAGGTTCTGTTCATGGCCGGACTCTCTGTCTCTATGTGATATATTCTCAAGATCACGTGCTCAACACATGTATGCAGGCATAAGATTATGTAAGGTGCCACTTATGCAGGAATCTATGCAGGAATCTACAACCAATCAACAACGAGTAAATGAAAGACGAACCATCACCAAATAGAGGAATATCAAAACAAACAAAGCCACCGTCTCTGATGACTGCCAAAGAATGCGCCTCGTCCGCCAACTGTCAGAGCTGGCACATTCTTCGGAAATATCCTGATGAAGCTTGATTGTAAAAGCCACTAAAGGCATGGAGTATACTTCCATGAGTTTATTTAGAGTTGAATATCGATCAAGAAATGATGAATGGCATTGTGGTACACTAACGGAGTGGTTACGTCTAGAATCTCAGACTGCGCACCGATGAAGAGACCTATCTATTATTCAGATTCAACCATTTGGAGCATCATTGTCTCATTCTCAGCTTCTTGGTGTATGCAGAGGGGAATTTCATGGAGGATTCGGTACCACTATCTTTTGCCTACGTTGGAGATTGTCGTGATCTATATATCGCAAGGATTATAGGTATACAAGGACTCCCCAGAAACGCCCGTGTGCCAGCAAATAGAACTCGAAACCAATCAATTAAAACGTAACCATTCTTCTCTCTGTTACACGAGTCCCTACAGTCCTTCGGATTCGACGAATTAATGAGCAATCTGCGCATTTGCCTGTTCGCCTGTCTGCCAGCCTTACGTAGTATCCATCTACTAATCCTTTGGCTGCCGCTGATCAATCACACGTTTCCATTGCCTCCTCGCCATTGCCGCCTGGCCTTTTCCCTCTCCATCCCACTTCCATCCTCACCCAGATCGTTTTAATAGTCTTCCATCTGTTGTTTTGGCGTAACATCGGAGCGCAAAAGCTGGCTTTTAGTTTATCATATTACATCATGTAAGTGGTGCTTTACTTTGCAATCGTGCCTACAATTCAGTCCAGTCCTGACACTGACAACGGCTCGCCCAGAACCAGATCAAAGCGCTGGAGGCCACAACGCCTCAGTGCCGTCTTAATGATTCTGAGAATATGAACAAAACGTCGATTACGTCTATGCCTCAAATCCTGCCACTTCTACGATAACACATTCAAAACCAAGCCCACTAAAGTGCTGAGAACGGGTCTTCTCATCAATCACGAGCGACAACGGCGTTCGGTATCCTAATCTCAGTCGCGGCAGTCAAAAGACTTGTTCAAGGGCCCAGCGCTGTAGTCAAGCAACATAAGAATTGACAATGGACGGCCCTCCGCCACCTCCGCCACCTCACGGTGAGAATCCGAACACAACTCACGGATTCAAGAAAGGCTCCGGTCTTCCGGAGGGAAACTATGATATCTTTATCATCCCACCTCATTCCTCGGGCTCCGGTTTTCTATACCTTCCCTCGCTACAAACTCACCGGAATAGCTTCCTGGCCGGCGCTGTGTCCGCGCTAGTGGTGGTTTACATCTGGCAGACACTGTCTCCCATTGTAAAGGCATGGTATCTTGCGACAGCCGCCAATGGTGGTGGAATGGGCATAGCGGTGCTAGCGGCCGTGGTTGGCATTGCGGGATGGGGGTTCGGTGCATATCAAGCACATGTAGCCGGTACAAAACGAGAGTCCGGCGGAAGCTCTCAATCCCGCCAGTCTGGGCCAGATGGCCCTGGGGGTCCTGGGGGATCTGGAGGAACTGGATTTGGAGGGCCTGGAGCTGCCGGCGGCGGCGGCTCTTACCATCAGTCCTCGGGTGCCGGCCCAGGCCCGGACTATACGAGAGGTCCCAATTTCGGTGGCCCCAATCCGGGGCCGCAAGGGACCTACGGCAGTGGCGGTAATTATGGAGCCGGCCCAGGTCCAGGAGGCCCGTATCCCGGGAATCAGTATGGTGCTGGCGCCGCGCCCCCGCCGCCGAATGCTGGGACCCCACCCCATACACCTCCTCCGAATGCCGACCCAGGCCCGGAGAAAGCAGAGCCGACTTCTGGCAGCAGCGAAAGCAAAAGTAAGAGCGGCGAAGATTGGGAACGAGCTCGTGAAGAAACGAGGCGAAAGGAGGAGCTCAGGCGCAAGATGGAAGAGTTCAAACGAAAAAGGGAAGCTGAAGCACGAGAAAAGCAGAAGCAGCGCGAACGCGAAGCCATGGAGAGGGAGCTTCGAGAGCGCAGAGAGCAGCTCGAGAGAGAGATGGCCGCTGCAAAGGAAAAAGCCGAAAGGGAGGCGAGGGAGCGAGCTGAAAGAGAGGCGGCAGAAGCTCGAGCAAAGATCGAGCGCGAACTTGCTGAAGCGAAAGCCAAGGCCGAGCGTGAAGCAGCCGAGGCCAGAGAAAGGGCCGAGAGAGAGGCTGCGGAAGCCAAGGCAAAGTCAGAGCGCGAAGCAGCTGAAGCTCGAGCCAGAGCTGAAAGACTTGCTGCTTTGGCCAAGGAAAGAGAGGCTAGAGCCAAAGCCAAAGCTGAGAAAGAGGCCGCAGAAGCAAAGGCCAAGGCCGAGAAAGAGGCCGCTGAGAAAGAGGCTGCCGCAAAGGCCGCTGCAAAAAGAGAGGCCGATGCCAAATTCGCCGCGCTCAAGGAAGCCGCTGCGAAGAAGTATGCTGAAAAGAAGGCCAAAGACGCCCAGGAAGCGGCCGCAAAGGAAGCGGCAGCTAAAGAGGCGGCGGCGTCGAAAGCAGCAAGCAACAAATCCACAACCGCGTCAACGGCTCCCAGGACCCCATCTCCAAAGAAGCCAGCGTATTCCAGCAGTGCCTGGACAGCAACGACTGCGGACCAGGATGATGCCTATTCCTTTCGGCCCTACGACCGACCCCGCCGACCGTATGCGGGTACATCGGGTTCCTCGGTCTATTCTGAATCCTCCTATGCCCCTTCGCAGTCGACAGCTCGAACGACTCCGCCACCGTCAACTCGAGGCGCCTACTCGACCAAAGATCCCGACAAGATTGTCATCCAAGGCGTTTATGCCTTCAACAACGCCTTCATGCGGAGTCCTGTGGCACAGTTGGTCTCTGGCCAAGGGATGGTGACAGATGGACTGGTGTTGCGCATCACTACCGAGGGACTCTTCATTGACGACGATATCCGAGGTGTACCTCAGCGCGAATGGGATGTCAAGGCATGGACCATGAAACTGGTGGAGGTGTGGTGTCCTCAGTACGGAGCGACGGCGCAAGGTCGTCCGAACCCTAAGCCCGCCAACGCGTTCTTTCGCCGGAGCACCAATGAACCAACCCCGGAAGAGTCGGACGCGAATCTCGTGAACTTTTTGAAAGTGTGCAAGAACAAGTGTCGACTGGCATCACCTGACACGGAGGAGCAACGAGGGCTGCATGTCCTCCGCGCCAGCATCCGCGACCAGGAAGGTCGCCGTTATGTCTTCGTTCTGCAGGAGACTGAAGGGTGGAAGGTTGCCGTGGGCCTGCAGCGTCTGCGCAAGGGCACGCAGGTCAGAGCACTGGGTGTGTTAGGCATGGCCGGAAATGAATGCCGGACGCTGCTGGGGAACCTTGGTTATGTTGCATAGTCTTTGGCTATTGAGCGATCTGTCTGTTGCGTTTTCATTTTCTTCTCTCCATCCACACATCAGCATTGCATATTTTGACTTTGCACTCATCGAGACGACAGCACATTCGTTATGAATACCCCGAGATTCCCCTGATGTTTTCTGGTTACAATCGAGTTGTATTGCTTTCTATTTCATAATGGCCTTGTTCGATGAGGTCTCCATTTCTCTGCATATAGTGTGTACATAATTGACCATCTGTGCATACAAAGTATCCGTTTATCTTCGTAAATAGTTGGTAGCGGGTGACGTTGCGACTGTCTGAGATGATGACGCATTCCACGTGCTCCTCAACCTTCAACCTCATCAGCTCCTACTTATCATCATAACCATCATCATCGCGTCGTATACAGCATCACAGCTTCATCATTTGACAGACCAAGCCGCTCGTCTTCCCATTTCATCATGTCGTAATCTACAGGTCTGTAGATTCGACCTTCAGGTCGCATGTTACCAACGCTCTTCTGCCAGTTTCATACCAGTTATCCGCTCTATTCTAACAATCCTCCAAATCATATACCTTGACACTCAATACTCTAGAAAGAATCAATTTTCTCAGTGAAAACGGTATGATGTCCGAGGTCGGTCCTTCAGACCAAAACCATGACTTTGCACCCACCTATGAAGCGGCAATGCTAGACGAGGATCAATCTCATAGCACAGCTCCTCTCTTACCAAAGCCTCATGAGTACGAAACTGCGCCAGCAGACGGGATGAAAGAGCTCGAAATGGGAGATGTCAAGGACCTCAGCCCAAGCCCCAGGCCAAGCTTGACCTTCGGGATCGAGGATGAATGGACCCCCAGGTTCAAGCGGACACATTCTCGATCCAGAAGCTTCAGACGGACCTGTCTGCTGTTCCTTCTCAAGGCTGTTCTGGCCGTTTGGTTCAGTGTAGTGCTTTATAAGGTCATTAGGTATTGTGCTCAGGTGAGTCACTGCGTGCATCCAGCCCACCCATAGACAGTACTAACTGCAGCAGTCGTCGAAATCCACCGGTGGTCTTCCAGACACCAGCCCCGGCAACGATGATACGTCCGCATCCAGGAACCGGAGAATGATCATCGACTCCGACTCCGGGAACATACGCGGCGTGTACCCCCTCTACGACTCGTTATCCCTCACAACAACAACCGGTAACATCACCGTAGCCATAGCCCCGCAACCGGCACACCCAGACCACCCATTTGAACCAGCGCGTCTGCATATCCGCTCCCTCTCAGGGACGGTCACGGTCTCATTCACCGCGCCAGAGGCAGCCATCCTCCCGGACCTAGAACTGGAGATGGAGCTGCACCCGGACTGTAATGCCTCACGTACCGACGAAAACAGGGATCTACCCGCACGCCCCTACGAGCTCGACATCCAGACGGAAACAGGCCCCATCGCGGGCCGGATGGTCTTTTCGCGCTCTGCGCGTCTCGTTTCGGGCAGTGGTGATATCACCGCTATGCTCATTCCGGTTATTCCTGATGGTCTTGGTGAGGATTGTACCGGGAAGATGGGGCGAAATGTGTCCATCATGACGGAGACTGAGTCCGGTGAGCAGCGGCTCCACGTTACCCAGCCTTTTGTCTTGGATTCCGAGGCAGAGGCCAATTATCGTGTGTCGGGGAGCCATATTGCGGGGAATGGGGCGATGGAGGTTGCCTATCCGGCTGCTTGGGCTGGGAATGTGCATGTGCGTACCGAGGGTGGGGGCGTAAGGCT